TGAGAATCTCTCCAAGTCTATCGTAACATAAAGAGGATGGATGCTCGATGTTCAAACTAATGAATTCATTGACCTCAGCTACGGATTTTCTTTTCTCCTGCCTCTTCTCTTTTTATATATTCTCTTCCTGTTTCAGCACAAACACTCCAAGATCGCCGGTAGTCGGCGATATTTCACGCAGAATTATTTCGCGTCTAGACTCTTCCGACAGCTTTAGCAATCGCATAAGGAGATGACCTCAACCAAACTTCGATTAACTTAATCGGCAATTAATTAAACTGGCGGGATTACTTACTGCGAGATTTCTAACTGTTATACAATTCGTTGTCCTGATCTAATCTTTCTTTCCACATGTTAAACGACAAAATAGATCGAAAATAATGCAAAGTAACGCTATTCACATTACACAGATTGTATGAAGATCCAGGTTCGAACCCTGACTGGGGGGTGATATTTTTCGCAATAAAATATTGACAGTGATTTTAAAAAGGATGCTTATTAGCATCAAAAGTTACATCGATTGAAAAGGACCAAAACGAATGGTCGAAACGTTTACTTTATATCAATTTTTATGAATAAAGCTATTTATTAATATGATATCTTATATTTAGTCTCTCATTATTCTCTATATTGCTATAAAAAATCTTTATTGTCAAATCATGTTGTCTGTCCGGCAAGTTTCGTACCCAGTAAACTTGCGTTTACTGGGTACGAAGTGGTCCCAAATCGGGATATAAGACGTCTTGAAGATCTTAATGACATTTTTAAGACGTCTTATGTCCCGATTTGTCTGATGGGGTAGATTTTATCATCATGTACGTCACAAACATAGAATTCTCATTATCGTGAGTATCGCAATGACGAAATAATATTGCGCGATCGAGGGCTCGCATCTTACCGGTGGCGCAGATGCCGCCGATGATCCAGACGAGGCAGACACCGGCGAGAAGGCCGCGCGTCCTCGCGGAGGCCGCCGCCGCCGGCCGCTGCTCCATCCTCTCGCCTCGCCGTTGCGCGACGTTGACCTCACTCTCTCGCTCCCCTTCTTCCCTTCCTCCCCCTCCTCCTCCCCGTCTCCGTTCGCCTCCTTCTTCTCCACCGTCGTGGAAGGCCTGCTCCTTCGCTCGCAGCGGACGCGCGTAAGAGCCTGGCTCCGGAAGCGCACCGGGATCTACGCCAATCGCGGCGATCCGCGCCGCGTCCCCGTCTCACGCACACTCGCGACTCGCATTCCGCGCGATGCTCTCGCTGCGCTATTCACCCCCTCCTCCCCCTCGATCACGTTCGAAGGAGGCGCGAGACGTGCAAACGCGCTCGAGGCGGCCGGACTCGCGTCCTTCTTGCTCCGCGAGGTCCGAGACGAGCGGAAAGGGTAAACGAGACTCGCGATGCCTCGCGAAGGGAAAGGAAAAACGAAACGTCAGAGGTGCGGTAGGTGCAGCGGAGACGAACGCGCCCCGTAACGAAATGAAAATCGCGCCTCCGCCCACCGCCTGTTCACCAAGTTGACTTCTTCGGGCTTCTCTTTAAAGACAGGCTCGTTTCTCGTGCCCTCTTCTCCCTCTTGCTCTACCTTCCACACTTTTCTCTCTCTTCTCTCTGCTCCGTGCGCGCGAGAAGAGTAAAGTCCGTGAGAATCCGCAGAAATTGATGGGAACGATGGGAGAGACCAGTGTCGATCGAGATTGATCGTTATCTCCGTCCTTCTGCCGTTTAACGAACGGACGACGATCACAGAGGATCGGCCGCTAGATCACCGCGACATTTCGATCGCGTTCAGTTCTCACTCTCGCGTCTCGTGTTTGACGCGACGCGCTTGAACTCGCCGCGAGGATACGTACATGCGGTCTTCGCGTAATATTGACACGCGGTGTCAAGACTCCGCGCGACGACGAATTCCTCCTCGCTCTGCAGGAGAGAAGGTGACGCGAAGGCGACGCAAACGTCGCACGCGCACGTTCACCTGGTAACACCTGGCAACACCTGGCGAAGGTGTTCACAACACCATTAATGCCGCTCGCGGCGAACTTCGCGGGAGATATCGGACGGAGCGCGAAACGAAAGGTAAATGCGACGCGACTTCGCGATCGCGATCGCGCGCGAGATCGATCCGCCTTCCTTCGTCACCGCGACGACACGACACTCACGACAGTCGCTCCGACTTCGAGGCGCCGTCCAAGTTCCGTGTGGCCGACCACGCTTGCACCGCGTCGCTCGGCGAACGCGTTCGGACGACGCGACGGGCGAAGAGCGTTAACTTGAAATCGCGTGCACGCGCATGCCCATCATAGCCGTCATAGCCGTGGGCGCTAGTGCGCTACTGATCGGCCAATCGCCGCCGAGCGTTCGCTTGCGCTCTCGTACGGCCGCGTTCGGCAACGCATCGGCGCGGCGAGCGGACGACGTCGCGCCGCCGCGGCTAGGGAGTCTCGTGATGTCGTGATCCCACGTGATCCCGTCGGTCGAGAGAGCGCGGATTGGCTAATTTCTGAAAAACTGTGTATCAGCGTGCCACTTGTTGAATGTCGAAAGAACAAAAGAAGAGAATAAGGACCTCTATGAAGTTGGCCGGACAACTTCAACGTATCGAACTTTCATTAATTGGAATCGATTGGTGGTCGTTTGGTGGTCTTTGGTAGTCTAGTCCGATCGTTTGGTGGTTAGTCGTTTTCCTGTAAAATAAAAATGAAATTTCCGGTGTGAAGTTAGCCGGACAATTTTTATTTTTCAACCAATTTAACTTTTTTATAGCTCATTCGACGCGGAATCGTTTGGTGGTCACGAATATCACCAGTAAAACGTTTGGTGGTCAACCGTTTTCCCAGAAAATAGAAAAAACCGTATGCGCATAATGCCGTAGTCGGAACAATTGTATTTATCACCCAAATTGACTTTGACAGGGCTCAGTCGACGCGGAATCGTTTGGTGGTCACGAATATCGTCATTAAAACGTTTGGTGGTCAATGGTTTTCCTAAGAAATAGAAAAAACCGTACTCTCACGCCATTGGTCGTATGACTCCGTGACGTTAGCTCGGTAATTTGATGGATAAACATTATTTATCAATCAAATTGACTTTCATACGGCTCAATCGACGCGGAATCGTTTGGTGGTCACGAATATCGTCATTAAAACGTTTGGTGGTCAATCGTTTTCCTAAGAAATAGAAAAAACCGTACTCTCACGCCATTGGTCGTATGACTCCGTGACGTTAGCTCGGTAATTTGATGGATAAACATTATTTATCAATCAAATTGACTTTCATACGGCTCAATCGACGCGGAATCGTTTGGTGGTCACAAATATAATCAGTAAAACGTTTGGTGGTCAACCGTTTTCCCAGAAAAAACGAAAAACTGTATGCTCACGCCATTGGTCGTATGACTCTGTGCTATTAGTCAGAAAAATTGTATTTGTCACTTAAATTGACTTTGATAGGGCTCAATCGACGCGGAATCGTTTGGTGGTCACGAATATTGTCATTAAAACGTTTGGTGGTCAATCGTTTTTCTAAGAAATAGAAAAAACCGTACTCTCACGCCATTGGTCGCATGACTCCGTGACGTTAGCTCGGTAATTTGATGAATAAACATTATTTATCAATCAAATTGACTTTCATACGGCTCAATCGACGCGGAATCGTTTGGTGGTCACGAATATAATCAGTAAAACGTTTGGTGGTCAACCGTTTTCCCAGAAAAATGGAAAAACCGTATGCTCACGCCATTGGTCGTATAATGTCATACGACCAATGGCGTGAGAGTACGGTTTTTTCTATTTCTTAGGAAAACCATTGACCACCAAACGTTTTAATGACGATATTCGTGACCACCAAACGATTCCGCGTCGATTGAGCCCTATCAAAGTCAATTTGGGTGACAAATACAATTTTTCTGACTAATAGCGCAGAGTCATACGACCAATGGCGTGAGCATACGGTTTTTCTTTTTTTC